ACTAGTGCCATTAATATTTTCAAAAATCCCGTTTAACACTCTCGAACCAAACATATTAATGTACGACATCACTTTACTCGAGAGCTTGTAAAGGCCCGTGTTATAACCCGTGAGCACATTTCTACAAATAACCCGTTAGCTGACATATTTACCAAACCATTAGATGGTTTGAGCTATTGGTGTTTGTGTACCTCATTAATTAGGTATTTTTGGTGTATACTCGTTCTTTACCATTGCGTGACATTGATTTAAGCATGCATCATATTTGTTTTTATTTTTCTTTTTACTTTTATTTTTGGGTGTGTTTTTAACATCTTTTGTAAGTTTTGTACATTCTTGCTTTAAATTAAAAACAAAAAATAAAAATAAAAAATATAGAAAATTGAAAATAAAAATGTGAAAAATGCTTTTACAGCATAATATATAATATACTTGAATTTGTTTGTTGTGATCATGCATGCCATTAATCAATAAGTTGTAACATAATTTCTATTGCTGGCTTAGATTATTCATGGAGTACTTACTATAGGTGTTTTCATATACCATCTGCACTGCACATACTATGATATTGTTAGTGGGACTATACCGCGTGTGTGAGATTTTAGATGGCAATCATATGTTAATAAGGTGATTTTGAACATGAATTGACCGTATGTATTAGACTTAATCTCAAGTTTAACCCTGATATTAAAAAAGAGAGAGAGAGAGAGAGAGAGAGAGAGGCTCAATATCTTATGTTTTTCTTCGGAGCCTATTTGACTCGAACAATTAAGTCTGAGGGGTTTCTCATAACCTGGTGCAAGCTTTTCTGTATAGGTTCTAATGTGCTTTAATTGGTTTGACTTTCATAAGTAAGGGAATAAACTTATTGACAGTAATGTTTAGTGTGTCATTTCTTACAAATTTAAGGTTTTGGGTCTTACTTCCAAAGAATTAGTGACACTTTACACATATTGGTCACTTATACAATTTACTCCATGTTAACTTGCATTATGTAAGTGGGAAGGGTTACTGTTCATTGTTTATACTTATGCATGTAAACAACTGCATTTTTTTATTATTATAGTTCTTCTTGATCCCTTGTCATTTTGTGAAAAAAAAAAAGGAGTAGTTAGTGTACATTTTTTTTATGATGGGGTAGTATTTTTTAGGATGTATATGATCTTAACTATTTGACATGATGTATCTAAAAATTTTGATTCAATGATAATTTCAATATTGCTAGATTAAATTTTGGTTTTTGTAGTATCAATGTTTCGTTTTAGTGTGCTGGATTGCATTGATATTACGTCTTAATTAACTCATGGTATGAAATTGAAATGATGTGTTATGAGTTATAACTACTTAAACTGAAATGATGTGTTATGAGTTATAACTTCTTAGATTAACTTGGTTGCTTGAATTAACCGCTTCAATTGCTTTTACACTTAGTACTATTTCACATACGTTTTATACTGAGTATTTGACTTGTCTATTTCAGGAAACATGTTTTGATAAAAGAAAAGTAGAATTCAATCAAGATAGTTAATGTTGGTTGTGTCAGTATTGAGTTTGTAATTTTTTTTCACTACTACCTTGACTTTAGATTGTAGTTTTGTCACAGAATGCCAAATGGGAAGCTTGTTAACTATTTGATGTAATTGGCAAGTCTATGAACAAAAGAAACTAAAATTAATATGTTGCAAAAGTCAAGGAGTAAGGTGTAAATAGTAGAAATTGAGTTATATTAGGTCTAGGGTTCGAAAATGGAAAAGAAGGAAAAACGACACCGAAATTTCGCTAAACTGTAGCCAAGACTTGGCTTAAGCATCAGAAACATAAATTGTGTCGCCCATCTGTTACCAGAACTTCACTCAAGTGATACACTATCGCTCGCTTGTCGTCCAACTTTCGCTCGAGCGACAGGATTATCCGGAGAATTTTTAATTCATTTTTTAAGGCTTTTTATCTGGCCCATTCATTTCAAAACCTAAACTATAAATACCAAACGCCTCTGAACGTAAATTCTAAGATTGATAATTGTGAAAACACATTCTCTTCATATTCTCTTTATCAAATAAACTTTCAGCCTTCGTGCTGTGATTTGTTCTTGGTGGTGAAAACATCAAATCCACAATCCAAATACCAAATTGCTACTTCCTACACTTCTGTCAGAGTTCTGAAGATCAAGGGAAGGTGACTGGAGGTTCAGTTGTTGAAGAACGCGAAGTTCTTCGTTGATCCACATGAGATAGACAAATTCACAAACTCGGTAGTTGCTGCAGAGCGCACAATCCAAGATGGCTTTGAAAAACTACAGCTGGGAGTTGGTGCAGGAGCACAAAATCCAGGAGAGTTGTGGAAATTACAGTCAGGAGATCAAAAAGTACTAGTGGTAGTCGAGTCTAATGGACTGTAAGCTTTAATTCGTTTATAGTGGATTGTTGACTAGTAAAGTGCCCGGAGTTTTTACCCAGTTGGGGTTTCTTCGTTATCATTTCTTGTGGTTGTTATTGTTTTCATATAACTACGGTATTTCAACATAGAAAATTGGATTGTTTGGTTAATCATCTAGAGATAATAAATATTGACTTGTTGCTAATTAATTATTAAGTTTTTAATTCCGCATGATCACTTATTCACCCCCCCTCTAGATGTAGTTTGGGTCGAACTTCCTTATTTTAGATATTATCCTCGGGCCCGGGGGTCCTAACATCACACCCCATCATTATCCCAAAGTCTCTCACTATGGATATGACCTCGTGCTCTTTTTATCAACCTATTAGCTCGGGATAAGTAAGGACCGACCTATTATCTAAAGAAACGACCACTAGTATTATAGAATGGCCATCATCCTCGGGTGTTAAACTTGAGGCCATCGAACTATCTGAAGACATACTAAGAGGACGAAAACTTAAAGCTATGTACAAGTCTCGAGGTCTTACTTTAAACAAACACGAAGCCCTGAGGTTGTCCGAAGAGGTTTGAGAACGAGAAATGTGACAAATGGGGTGGGGCAAAAGGGTATTTATAGGATTTTAAAGGAGACCAAAGGTCTCTCAATCCTAGCCATCCATCTTGCCACGTGGTAGACGTCCATCCTCCCAGGGTAACCATCGGCTCGAATATCGAAGCCTCGTAGCACATTGCCACGCACCCTGGGTACTCAGTCCTATTTCCAAGGCTGATCAGTCCCCTTTCAAAGACTGATCAACCCCCTATTCCCGAGGCTGATCCAAGGTTGCTTGGTCTAATTTGAAAGGCTTGCTAGCCCCTTTCTAAGGTTGATCAGTCCAACTTCAAAGGCTAATAAGCCTGTTTCTAAAGTTGATCAGTCCGTTTCCAAGGCTAATAATCCCATTTCCAAAGCTGATCAGTCTATTTCCAAGGCTGATAATCCCCTTTCCAAGGTTGTTCAGTCCAACTTCAAAGGCTGATCAGTCCCTTTACAAAGCTGATCAGTCCAACTCTAAAGGCTGATCATCCCATTTCCAAGGTTGATCATCCATTTTCCAAGGCTGATCAGTCCAACTTCAAAAGCTGATCAGCCCATTTCCAAGGCTGCTCAGTCTAATTTGAAAGGTTGATCGGTCCCTTTCCAAGGCTAGTCAGTCCAATTTCAAAGGCTGATCAACACCTTTCCAAGGCTGATCAGTCCAATTTGAAAGGCTGATCAGCCACTTTCAAAGGCTGATCAACCCCTATTCCTGAGGCTGATCAGTCCAAATTCTAAGGCTGCTCAGTCCAATTGGAAAAGCTGGCGAGCCCCTTTCTAAGGCTGATCAGTCCAACTTCAATGGCTAATTAGTCCTTTTCTAAGGCTGATCAGTCCAACTCAGTCCTATTCTCGAGGTTTATCGTTCCTGTTATGATTACCATGTGCATCACATCCCAGAATCTCGACCACGAGGCTCTGGCTTGGATGCACGGGGGCCATTGATGATCCCAATATTGGTGGAGCTCGAGCATGTAGCCCGATGAGTATTTTTCCAATTTGGCCTCAACGTCTCGTGACCTCCTCGACCATGTCTCCTCGGGATTGCCTCTTCTGGGTCCACAGGTCTTCATCGAGATCACAACTAAACCTCATACCATGCAGTCCTTGACTTATTAGAACTTTCCCTCGTGTCAAGGCTTATCCAAACCTAAGAGAAATGGAGTCATGTTGTTAGTATGTTACCTCATCCTGAAAGGATTCTACCACCAGAGTCCCATCTTTATCCAAACACATAGGTGATACAAAACCAATTAAGTTGTAATTTTCAATCACGGTAGAACTCCTAGGGATTTCAACATTGTAATTCTACTAGGAATGCACTACCTACCTCTATAAATATATCATTTCAATTCATTACCAAGGTACGTTTTACATAATTTTCAGCACATATATTTACGCCAAATTCTCTCTCGGACTTAAACATTGGAGGGGCGACAAGGTCACACCTCGACGCCTTTGTTTCAGGTACCGAAAGATCTCGTTCGTGGTCATTCTCAATCGTCAAGCTCGGAATTAACATGTACAATTTTTGGTAGCATCAGTTCCCAATTCAAAATCATTATAATTTGGTAAATTTCACATCACTAGAAAATCTTAACTCGGTCAACTTGTCATCTAAAAATTTATTTTTCTCACTATTTACAATATAGTCTCCAAGTTTTACACTTTTTGCATTTAGGTCCCATCTCGGGTTAAAGCTTTGAAAATCACTATTTTTCTTACGCGTCATCCTTATAATATTCTCAAGACTTCGAATTATGATTATTAAAACTTTCTCGTGATTTTCTTTTTAATTTTTTAACTTTCTAAAATTCGATAATTTGTACCTTACTCGTATTTTCCCAATTAATAATTCTTGAATATTATTATTTACATTTTGATAATATTTTATTCACCAACAGGATAATTTTGCCAAATATAATTTATTTTGTTATACATTATTTTCTTTTAAAATTGTAAATATCCTATTTATTTATCTAAGCTTGTAAAAACTTATGTGAAGGATCTCGTAATAATTAATCATCTAGGCTTCAAGGTTTTTATGGCCGACCCTGATTCGACCTTGATGATGATCAGAGATACCCATCTGAGAGGCTACGGATTCAAGTGCTGTAACAATATCACTGATGGCAGGGCGAAAACTTGGTTGTTCCTGAAGACACATTGCAGTAATTGCTATTGCATGGTGTAGACTTCGGATGGAGAAGCGCATCTCTAAAAGCGGGTCTGCCATCTGGACAAACTTCTTGTGGTCTTTTAGAAAGGGAAGGAACTGCAAGAAAATAAAATATTCATGTTTAGAATCAAAGCCATATCACTTGAAGATAGAAACTGTGCATAACACATTTTGTTATGTCACATTTCTAGTAAAACAATCTCTTGGAAAAATGAAAATCACCCCATAGAAGTGGTAAAATTCACATGCTTTGTTAACCTAACTTCCTTTATCACTGAGAAGAAAAGTTAAATCCAAATGGTCAAGGCTCCAAGAGGGCTTCTTGGTAATTTTGCTCAGCCACATGGATGGCCTGCGTGGCAACCCGTGATTGGTAAGAGGAGAGAGAAAAAAAAAATGAATTTAAATTTAATGGGTCAAACATGGGAATTTCTGTATAGTGTTTAGGATCGTGAATAGTCTCTGTGGGTTAGTTTCCTGTTCAAGGGGTAATTTTGGTTCTCTGTACTAAACTATTTCTGGAAGTCTAGTGGAAGGGGCTGTTATCTGAACCCTCAGAAGCCATTTCAATGTTGTGATACCAGAACCCTTCAAGTTAGACAAGGAAGTGTACCATAGATAAAAGATAAAATAACGAGTTTGCAGGATAGCCTACTTAAACTATGGCTATTATAATCAAGAATTGAAAAAGTTCTTGTGAGTCCACAACTATATCTCATATGGAGTTCGAAGATAAAACTAAGTTGCATAGACACAAACAAGTCGACACTATTTTTGGATAGAAGATATGGACATGTTGGGGACATGTTTATTTAAATTCATTAAAAATTTTAATTCACATATTATATCTTGATTTCGGTATTTATATCTTGTGCATCGGTAAACCTAAAAATATGTATAAAAAAAATAGGGACAAGGACATGTGGCTTGTTGGATACATGTTCTTGAGTGTTTGTATTTGACATAACAATATACAACACGTGTCGAACAAAGACACATTGTTTTAGTAAAAGTGTTCGTGCATCATAGAGATAAAACGGCACGTATTGCAGGATATAATGCTTAAACTATGGCTATAAAATCATAAAACGGCACGTATTGCAGGATATACTGCTTAAACTATGGCTATAAAATCAAGAACTGAAGAAGTTCTTGTAAGTCCAATCTCACATGGAGTTTTTAGATTAAAGAATATAAACTCACCCACATAACCAGATTCTTTTCTCCAGACTTTCTGGTGTGATCGATAACCTTACGTCCAGTAATCAATTCCAATAAAACAACGCCAAAGCTATAGATATCTGAATTTAGAGTCAGTTTGCCACTGACGACATATTCAGGGGCACAATATCCATAAGTTCCCACTACTCGTGTCGACACATGAGTGTTCTCACCAATTGGTCCTAGTTTAGAGACTCCAAAATCCGACAGCCGGGCATTGAAGTCATTGTCCAACAATATGTTCGAAGATTTCATATCACGATAAATGACTGGTGGATTTGTTTTGCAGTGAAGATATTCAAGGCCATGAGCTACATCTAAAGCAATCTTCAGCCTTGTGCTCCAACCCAATGGCTTCTGATCAGGCTCTAAATTTGAGTAGGGCCCAAGTTTCAATAAGATTAGACTAAGAGAATTCAGAATCCAAAAGGGTTGCATAAAGTAATCAAGAATTACCAAAAAGAAGACGATCCAGGCTCCCCAGTGGCATGTACTCGTACACCAAAAATCTCTGTTCTTCATGAGCACAATATCCAATCAAGTTAACGAGGTTGGGATGGTGCAGCAGACTTAACATAAATACCTCCACGATAAACTCTTGATTCCCCTGAAGACCTTCGAGATTAAGTTGTTTGACAGCAACAACCTATTGTGAAAATCAAATGATCAGCGTTAGCAGAAGAGTAATCATTATGAATGCATAGTAAAACAGAACTTGCCACGTCAGAATCTAGGCAGCCCTTGTAAACACTTCCGAAACCTCCTTTCCCGATTAAATTAGATTCTCTGAAATTTTGGGTCGCCATTGCAAGTTCTTCGAATGTGAAGGTACTCGCCACGTTGATCTTTTGGCCATTGTTATCTTTGCCTCTTGCTCCGTCAGAATTTCTCTCCGTCTTGCTCTCTACAGAAATTGATTCAACAAAAGTTTAAATCCAGCCCGCATTACATTTTCATCAAACGTCTAGTGGCATACTTTAGTTGAGCTAAGGTGGAACATTTTCAAGTTTGGAGTAATGATTTTACCACTTAGAGGAACACCCTGATGGTCGCTGCCCCCACGGCCTCCTTCTCCACCGCGATTGGGATCAGCCGCTGAAAGCCTACTGTTCTCATGATTGTTGCTGTTGCTGTTGCTGTCGTGGCGATTTCTGTTCTTGATCAGCTTTGCATCATTATGAACTGAAAAAAATCTTAAAAAGTCATTAATATTTCTGGGACTAAGCATTTATTAATGCGTTGTATAGTCTAGCTAGGTTGCACGAAAACAGAAACACGTAACAACTAGTGAAATTACTCTCTTGAATCCAAAAGTTTCCAAATTTGATCAGAAATTGTCCTTTCGAGTTTCTAAAAAAATATCGGTTTCTCTAGCTTTTTAGAAGTTTTCGAAGTTGATCATACCTGGACTAGAACAACTGTTGGTGGTGGGACGACTATCTACAGGCTTAGGCCAGCAGGTTCCCATCTATCTATCTTTTTATGTGGTGAGGCACAAGGGAATCTACTGGGAGGCCTCACTATATATTGTGCGAAAATTTTGCAGCAAGAATTTTTTTTTCATTGACTTCCCTCACCTCATCAGCCCATCCAGGCAACTTCTTCGTTTTTCGGTGAAAATGAAATCTTTGCTTTATTCGACTCGAAGATAAGTATGCATTTGTAACATGAATTTCCCTCCTCAACATTATATGTCTTTATTTCTTCATTTATCATCAATCAACGTCAACTGCCTTTATTGACTGTGAAATTTGATCCATGAATACAATTTAAGGCACATTTTGTGAAAATTGTTTAGTTAAATGACCCAATTCAACGTGTAAACACTAGTGTGAATTGGATGCCGTACAAGAGGCAAATATTTGAAAAATGATAGTCATTGGCTGTTTCACCGTCCATGTCCAATCACTTCATTTGGAAATTGACGAATAAAATTAGGACCAAATGGTAGGTGAGTGGATCGTAACTTTGTTCTGATACCAATTGCCATGTCCCATCCCGAATCATTTTAGTGGACTCCAAACGTGATGTACACCAATAGTATCGGATCCGCCACCGAGACTAATTTTGTCATATTGACTAGAATGAATTCTAGTCATTCTAGAAGGGGCGGTTGGCCCAATATTTATTTAAATGAATTTTGGGTACAATTTTCTTATCTATTGGACTTAGTTATATCCGTTATAGATCAATATTCCATCAATGTAAGATTTCTTAACCAAGATAATGTCTAGTTTGAAAATACCAATCTTGAAATTTAATTGTTTGTTTTAGCTCAATAGATTCTAAAAATACCATATTAAGAATGGAAATTTCACCTTAAAAATTAATACAGTTAAAAGGAGTAGATCAAATGTTTATAAGTAAACTATTAGCAATGCTACACTAACAGGGTAGGTGACAGGATTTAAAAACATGGGACATGTGTCAGCGTTTGATTGGACAGTTTGAAAAAATAAAAATAAAAAACAACCAAAGGGGTCCTCACATGCAGCACTTGTCATTTGTTTCCTGTCACTTAGCCGGATATTTATCATTTTTCGTAAACTATTTATTTCACGCGTAACAAATTTTAGATTTATCCCTTAACCTTCGAAGTTATCTTAGCAGCTAGGACGAATGGTAGAATTGATGTGGAAGAAGCATAAGACAAAAAATTAGAAACTTAAAAGACTATGAGTAATTTTGACAGAGACAGAAAAAGAACGCGGGATTGCGAGAACTCTCTCTCTCTCTCATTTTTTTTGTTTTATTTTAAATCACGTCTAATTTAAAGTAATCAAAACGTAGGACCAGTTGACTTGTCTTAGCCCCTGTTTGGCGTCCTTGAAAGAACGTTTTTTACACACTTTAAATTTTTTAGAACGGTAAAATCATTATACAAATTTCCCTGTTCGTCCTCAATTTGTCACTGACAATTCCTTATGTTAGGGGTAAAATTGGAAGTACGTATCATCACATTAAAAACAATTATTTTGGTCCGAGATATGAATTCATCAGGAAACAGACGCGGGATCTACTTACTGTTGCCGAAAATAAATTTGCGTGAATTAAATACAAACTTTAATTTATATACAAATTAAGAAGCTTCTGGAAGAAATTATTCAACAATGGTTAAGAAGCCATTTGTTGTTTACAGCCTGTTTAATGATATTTTTTCTGGGTCAGGTTTTATTTAGAGCCGTCGGATTATGCAATGCAAGGTCCACAAACGATTAAGATTTCATGTGTACAACACGAGAAGTGTAGAGTTATTTTCAAAAGTGAAGTGCAAAAAAAAAAAAAAAATACAAGTGTGCATGTACCAATCTTTCAAAAAAAAAAAAAGAAAAAAAAAGGTCCAAGAACAACGCAAAGTTGATTAATTCTTGAATAAAATAAGTAAGAGTACAATTTTTTTAGCGTAATTTATGTGGATTATCAAGGTAAATTGAATCAACTCATCAGGTTTCTACTTAAGATTAACATGAGAAGGGCTTGATTTATTTAAAAATGCAGAAAGAAAAAATAGAAGTGCTCGATACCAACCTTAATCGGGTGATTCAATGCGGAATCGAATTTTATGAACTCCTTGATAAAAAAAGCAAGAATATTATACTTGCATAGAATTTCATTATGGATTCATTATTCAATTCTTGTTAACGCGTCCTAAATTTTGTAATTCATTTGTTGTTACAGACATTGTAGTTTCTGGTAATTTGTTGTCACTTGATAATATAATCTGCGTTTATCTTAGAGTTTTTCTTGATATTCGCAGATAACATGAATTTTTCTCTGCATTTTATTTAATTGAACAAGCTTTCCCACCCCAACTTAAAATACTGATATATATGTGGCATCAGTTTATCATTATATTTCATCAAAAATTTCTCTATTTTATCACTTGATGTTTTATGCTGATTTGGTTCTTTTTAGTAGTTGTAATAGGATTTTTCAATGACGGGAAATAATTAAGGAATTTCGTCATAGTTGTAAACAGTCTGTTGGAAATATTGTTCAAACTAAATAAAATGAGATGTGAATAATAAAAAAAAAAAAATGGAACCCGAGGCTTTCTTCTGGCCTATGCGGTCCAGAAAGGCTTGCAGTCACATAGGCCGTTGCAGGGATTAAATGCCCTGCAATTGGTTGTTCTATGCGGTCGCATAGAACAACCTGTTAGCCGTTAGATGACCGTTTTATGGCCATTGTCTTTTTGAATTTGGTGGCTTTTCACATGAATTTGACACAATTTTGTGGAAGACATTCGAGGGTTATATATAGGTTATCAATGTTCAAAGGCAAGATGATGAATATCATTCTTGACAACATGTTTATTGCACACATCATTGAAATCAAAAATTCCTTCATACATATTCAAAAATTTACTTTTTTGTGTTCTTCAAGTTTTGGAGGATTTTCACTAGTTTTTAAGTGTTAAATCTTTGACAATGCTTGATTAATCCTGCAAAATATTTGTCATAATCCTTTAAGCATCATTTTCAATTCGAGAGGGGGAAAATATAGTTTGAGGACAACGGTTACGTGTTCGGGCCTTCTTTTTCATCTTCTCAATGATCTTTTTTTCATTTTTCTCCAATTTTCTGATTTTTTTGTTCTTTTTTTTTTTTTTATCTCCATACCTCTTTGTGTACCTTATATTTTGCAACAATCTCAAACTATGTTTTGCGCAAATGGAGAATGAAAGTACTATTGCGACGATCAAGTTGATGAATCAAGATCTTGTTCGATTGGATCGTTTTGATGGAACCAACTTCACGAGATGGCAAGATAAATTGAAGTTCCTACTAACGACGTTGAATATATTCTACATCCTTGATCCGGATTTGGCACCATTACTGGAACCAACAAATGGAGATTCCGATGCTGTGAGAGCCAAAGACAAAAAGCGTCAAGAAGATGAACTCATTGTCGTGGCAATATTCTCAACGCTCTATCAGATATGCTATATGATCTCTACACCAATACTTCATCGGCAAAGGAAANGTGGATAAGACCGAGCCTTCTAATAAATCCAACAAGAGAAAGTCTTCAAGAAACTTTAATAAGTTCAGGAAGAAGACCAACTTTGGTTGTTTCGTGTGTGAAAAACCTGGATATTATGCAAAAGAATGTCGACACCGGAAAAGAAACAACTTCGAAAAAAAAGTGAACTCTCTTAAGAAAGACAAGATTGTGGCCACCATAAGCGAAATTATTGCTATCAAGGGAAATGTTCCCAGTTGATGGTATGATACATGTGCGACCATACACGTATCATATGATAAGTCCTTATTCAAGACTTCTTATGAAGTGGATGGAGAACAAGAGATTCAGATGAGTAACAAAGTTCGATCCAAAGTATTTGGAAAAGGAAATGTAGATATCGTCTTCACTTCCGGCAAGACCGTTACTTTGACAAGTGTACTACATGTTCCTTATATGAATATGAACTTAGTTAGTGGAAATCTCTTAGAAAAATTGGGTATATAATGTGTTTATGAATCCGGTAAACTTGTATTATCCCTAAATAAGAAATTTGTTGGAAAAGACTATTCTTGTGAAGGAATGGTCAAATTATGTACCGTTGACAAATTAATTAATAATAAAGTTGATTATGCTTGTATTGTTGATTCATTTACAATATGGCAAGCTAGATTAAGTCACATAGGTAAGAGTACCCTGAAAATAATGTTAAAATGTGACTTAATATCATATAATGAAAATGATGCATTTAAATTTAAAACATTTGTAGAATCTAAAATGATTAAGAAATCTTATCAAAGTATAAAAATGACTTTTAGTATTTTAGAATTAATTCATATGGATATATATGAATTAAATGACATGTTGACTAGAGGTGAAAACATGTATTTTATTACCTCTATAGATGATTATTCTAGATATATGTATGTTTACTTGATGAAACATAAACATGAAAGCTTTGACATGTTTAGAGTATATAAAAATGAAGTTGAAAATCACCTAAGTAAGAAAATAAAAATTCTAAGAAGTGATAGAAGAGGTGAGTACTTTTGTAGTAATTTTAACTCATTTTGTGAACAACAAGGCATAAATCATCAATATTCTACACTTAGGACACCCAAACAAAATGGTTTGGCTGAAAGAAAAAATAGAATTTTAGTTGAAATTATAAATATTATGTTAATTTATGCTAAGTTGCCATTTAATTTATGGGGTGAAATATTATTGAGTGCATATAAAATATTGAATAGAATTCCTTCAAAATTTACTAAGGTTTCTCCTTATGAATTGTGGAAAAGAAGAAAATCAAACATTGGATATTTCAAAGTGTGGGGGCGTCTTGCTTATTGTAAGAACACGAACCCTAATAGGACCAACTTAGGTCCAAGAGGCATCAAATGTTCCTTTGTTGGATATGCTAGTAGTAGCAAATCATATGAATTGTTGAATTTGGAGTCCAATGTGATTATTGAATCCAGGGACGTAGAGTTCTTCGAAAATTCA